TCAGGCGAATAAACATATTGTCCCAGCGATCGAGTCTTCTTCTTCTCACTTTTCTAAGTGTAAATAAATGAAATCGATATATCTGCAAAAAGCACCGCGGAATCGCTCTTTTGGTATCATTGACATGATATTTGCCCAAGGTGCCATGTAACCACAGATATTATCTTCGTCCTCGCCTACTGAGATATAAGTGCCAACAGGTGCATAGCGGCATCCGTCTCATATTCGTATGTTTTAGTCCTCGGCTTAGTCAATCGCACCTGAAGAAAAAATTTTGCTGGACGTCCGATTTTGGGGATCGTTTACGCAGTTGGTCAGAGAACTTGATGGCGGAAGGGCTACAAACCTATACGCATTAGCTTCGGCGCCCATTGGCTGCATAATAAATTTACGAAAATCATAGCCAGACTATTCACCACCTTCATAAACTTAACAGAGGCCGTTGATACAGTCAAATACAATGGCCTGTGACAAAATATACAGGGGAATCTCGGGTGACGAGTAGCCCCTTCTACAAGTATTTCAGGTAACGAGCGAACGGGCTGTCAGTGAGTATGTGCATGCTTGTGTCCACCGTTGAATCTTGCTCCCAAAGCGTGGGTCTTCGGTCGCCTATAGCCGATCGGTGCACTGCTGCAGTTTGATTGGTTAAATTTCGCAAGACGAGTTTTTTCACATGACCAGTTCGGTGCCGGTACGGATGAAACTCGTTAACCGGCGTGCCACCGTATGATGAAATACTGACGTGCGGAGTATTTTCTGCAGTGTTTTCTGCATTTGAGGTAAGGAAGGGCGTAAAGTAAGCTTGGATATTTGTTCCTGCTTAAGGTTCTCCGACATGCTGATGGACGCCTACCATAATATCTGCAAATCAATACCCCTTACTAATCAGCATCGGACGCATGCAGGTAAGCAAAAGTGTACAATGCAGGTGTCCAGGGCTTTTTGCTCGAAAATGACTGCGTACTAAACAGCACGATGAAACCGTAAAAGCAGTGCTTCGTGGAAATCTTTGCTTCTGACTGTGCAGGCGTTAAATATTTCCGGCACAAAAAGAAGCCGATGAACATGAAGAAACCAGTGCCATCTACTGAGTACATGTTAAGGGGACTAATTTATGAAGAAATTCGCATTGCTGGGAAATGCAACTCCAAGAAACGTTAAAATGGACGACGAAACCACCCAGGTTAGCACTAAACTCAGTGTATTCTTCGACCGGCTACAACGCTTCTGGTAGTACTGCCGCGGTATCCGTCCAAATAGTAAGTCAAACATTTACAAGACCAACGCCCCGACGGCGTGCCCGTGCAGGTTTGGGATACAGACAGTTCTCGAACTCTGGGCGTGGAAACACGGATACGTTCACATCAGCTGCCTCATTGAATACTGAAACTGAGATGAAGAAAAATAATCTTACATACTCTAGTTGTGGAAGGAACCGGCATTTTCGGTATAGACGCTATATGAAGTTGATGCATAATCCTTGAAGCAGCCACGCCGTGAGGATGGATGACAAGCTGCTGTCCGTGCAACTACTCAACCGCGACGTCGCTACGGATGCAAACGCAAATCGTAAACAATGACGAAACCACAAATCTGGAGGATGTTTCTCATAAACCGCCAAATCAACCGAGACCTGAGAAGGCCTACCTCGTTTTCGTTGTTTGGCCCAAGAATTTTTCTCATACATTTTCAGGTGCTCTGTTTAATAAGGCATGCGTAATAACTTGTCAGTATGATTTGTTCTGGCAATAGTTTAGTTAGTATTTGATGTGTACCCTAAAAAGTCAAATAAACTATTTTCGGCATAAAAATTACTATTTTTATTCGGTTTCAAAAAGTACAGTTAAAAAACCTATTGCCACCAATGTCAATACACCGCTTGGAATGAACATCCAGAAAGTCTACCGTACTGCAGTAAAGACGGAGGCTGTAGAATACAACGTCCATCTAAAACGGAAGGTCATGTTAAAGAGAAAGGCACTTAAATCTCAATTAATAAAAATGCTTTCACTGAAGACTGACGAATATTCAATCATAAACCATGCAGTGACAATAGCTTCGTGTGTACCTGAGCACTCTACCGGCACAGTAATTAATCGCAAAAAATATTGAGTCATAGTAACGCCACGACATGAACGCTGGCCGTAATCGTAAAGGTCCAAATTGGCCTCCCGAAACAATTTTGGGAGCTCACAAGTTGCGGATAGATACGTTCAGTTTGAATAAAGGACGACACTTCAGCATGC